AATATATATATATATATATTGTTTTTGTGTTCTTTTTTCTTGCACGCGTGCTCTTCAGCCTTGCATTCACGCCTCAAGAACAAAATAATAGAACCAGGACAAGATGTTCTTTGCTGCTGTGGCTGAGCGTCTTTCAGAACTGTGATGTCGGCTGGGTCATGGACAGTCTGTCTCATTATAGGCCTGTCACTGGTTAATTAAAGAGATAGAAGAAGGGAAGATTTATAGGGAAATGAATGAAAAGCACTGGTACATTTACAACAGGACACYGTTGTTTGTCAGTTTCACATTTGGGGGTGCAGACGGACACGGTTTCTGATTTTAAAATCATGCTCTCAAAAGGCTTTTGTAGTTGTTCCTTTTGTCCGATTAAAACCTAGTCCATATTAATTGGGGAGAGGTAAAAAAAAAAAGAAGAAGAACACAGTGAAACAGGTTATTTGTGCAGTCAAATGAGACAGCACAGCTGTGCTCTACTTGACAAGCAAAGAGTTCATGCCTTGTTTCCTCTGGCTGGAAACCAGCTCCCAGCCTTCTCCGTGGCCATTAGAGGCTGTCTGTCTGTCTCCAGCAGGTTTGCTGTGTCTGCTCAAACCCATATACATGCTGCAGACAGCTTATTAAGCAAGTCAGCAATTTTCCTCATTCACCCTGTGTGTCAATAACTGTGAGCATATTTTTCTCCTTTCCCCTTCACAAATCTTTCCCTCTCTCTCTCTCTTGACCTTTTTTCTTATCTTTTTTTGTCATTAGATCCAGTAATTGGCCCCTTCTGCAGCCTGAAAGTTGTCTCCCACCGCATCCTGCCCATAGTGCTCATTTTGTGTCCCGAGGTCTGTTGTTGTGGGTTTAAGTGACACCTTTTCTGTGGGAGTTTCAAGCCACATGTAGCTGTAGCATTGCCTACCCGACCCAGCCCCTGAACGATGGACTAACAAGACGACACATGAGGGATTGGAACCGGGCCTGGCAGGGTATTTTTAGCTGTGGGCACTTGAGGTGATGTGGTCTGAAACGTACAAGGAAATCGAAGTTCGAGAAAGCCTAAGACCACGCAAAAATAGAGTATTTAGTGCAGTATTTAGAGTACTTGACTGGGAAACCTCCCTACGAAGGTGTCGAGGAGACATCCTTATTAGATGCCTGAACCTCAACTGGATCCTCTTGATGTGGAGAAGTGACTCTAATCCTTGTCTATAGGATAACCGAACTTCTCACCCTTTCTCCAAGATAATTCTAGTTGCCCTGCAGAGAAAACTTTATTGGACCACCTGTGTCCACAGTTTTACTCTTTTGGTCACTGCCCAAAGTTATAGATGAGGTCAAGAGCATGGAGTGATTGGTAAACAGAGAAGCTCAGCTCCCTCTACACCACTTCGGATCGGCACAACATCTGCAATACTGAAGAAGCTGCACAGTTTCATATGTTGATCTCATAATAAATTCTCTTTCACCCTTTTCATAACTATGAATTAAGAAAAATGACGTTTTGCCTAAATTTGCTAAAGTGATTAAGTGTTTCAATAACGCACTTAATGATTTGTGAGAGAATTAAGCCAGAAATAAATGGAGAGGGGTGGAGAATACAGGAAAAAGTTGCAAACACAGAAAGATTGGTCCAGATGTGTTTTCTATTAAGGAAATAATAAATATGATTTTGCTCTGACATCTACAATGATGTTGATCAATCCATGGCAGGGGTCTGCAGCCTGCGGCTCTGGGGCCGCATGCAGCTCTTTGGTCCCTCTGCAGTGGCTCTTAGAAGATTGGCCAAAAATAATGAAACCATTTTTTTATTTGTTTCTTATACCCACAACAGAAATTATTTGTACACAAATATGTGATAAATACTACTAATACAAGAAGTAAAACATGCTGATTAGCTCAGGCTGGCCTGTTGTTTACTTAAATAATCCAACTTCTTTCAATGATCTTTTTCTCAAATCCATCAGAATTACCTTTAAAGAATTTGAAGACTAGATAATAACAAGAATTATAAAAAACATGCCTGAATAGTTCAGTTGTACTCGTTTTTTTGAAATTTGGTATAAACTATACATGGTATTTTCTTGTTTACAGGAATTTAGACTTTTCATTTGTCCTGATGGGTAAAAATAATAATAAATAATAAAATTCACAATATATTTTTTAGCTTTATAATGTCACCTCCACTGGCTATAAAGATTCCTAAAAAAGGCCTCGAAAAGACCCACGGACCACCAGTTGATAACCACAGTTGTAGCTTGTTTTGTGGCTCCAGACATATTTTTTTAGTGCGTTGACTAGCAGAAATGGCTCTTTTGATCGTAAAGGTTGCAGACCCCTGATCCATGGCAAACACACTCAATACGCACACTTCAATAATTAAAATATATTAAAAAAAGATTGATAAAGTTTGTAATGCATATTTTTGTTTAGACTCAAAGAATGGACATTGGCCTGCAGATTTATTATTTATTGTTTTGTTGTTGGTTGAAAACCCCACGAATGACCTTAAATGTAATGTTTGTCTCAGAGTTGCTGAAGTGGTAATTACCCTGGTGATGTCACTCTGACAGCCTGTCAGCAGAGCAAATCTTGTGTCATTGTTCCCACTGGTTCCAGTCAGTCACGCTTTTGCAGTCGCAGCCTTTTTAGACGTCAGGATACGACCTAACTACACGGGTGGAAAAAAAAGAAGGAAAAAAAAGAACAATCACATTTCACTGAGGACTGTCAACAAAGACATGGAAGATCAGTGTTTGTTTCAGTTATGGATGAATATATTCAGGGTTTTGAACATTGTAGAGATGTAGCATGAAATGTTTGAAAGTAAACTTTCAAGTGGTACTGGCAGGGGCAGAGCCAGGGGGTGGCCAGGGGTGGTCATGGCCACCATAGACAAATCTTTGGCCACCCCATTGGCCACCCAGCTGTACACACCCCTTCCACAGTGAAACGACCTTTAGGGGTGTAATAATCCTCCTGAACAGATGGTGGCAGTGTTTAACAGTTTGAAACATTGCCAGCTCTATCACTGAAGAAGAGTAATGACAAAAAAGTGTTGTTTTTTTAAATATACAGAACATATTTCTATATAATCTGACTTATGATGTCAACTTCTGGACAAATGTTGTCTGGTGACAAATGTTTTTTTATTTTATTTTATTTTGTCATTTTATGTTCTGAAGGCTGCATGATGCTCTGTGTTTGGTTATAGTTAGGCCTATCACTAAATCAGAAAAMGTGAAACAACCCTCTATATTCACTGTTGGTGGTTATCAGTATTGCACCTGTTCATTTCGTAAAATTATTAATATGTATTAGTTTCAAACATGCAGTTCAGGGTCGTCGTTATTTAGCACTATGTTAAAAATAAATCATTAAACAATATAAAAGTAAAAAGCACCCCCTAAAGTCATTGGATATGATAAATTATGTCACATTGATTAACCATATCTCAGCCATAGCAGTGAGTTTAAAAACAGGATGGATGGAACTACATTTATGAATAATTTGTCGCTGAAATAATTATTAAATCAAGTGTTTATTTATGTAAGTAAACGTATGTTTAAAAACTTGGTAGAATACACCAGAATGCAGGAAATGGCATCTATATTGTTCAAAATTTTCAACACTCTGTCCCACCATTTTTTAAATGGTTCTGATGCCCATGTTTATAAGGTAGTAACTGCCTGTATAAAGACATAAGGAAATGACCAAAACACAAAGATCTGCAGAAGATTTCAAGTAAAAAAATGATGTCATTTTCCTGGCCACCCCTGTGTGAGTATTGGTCCCAGTCTGGCCACCCCTGTGTGAGTATTGGTCCCAGTCTGGCCACCCCTGAGAAAAATGTCTGGCTCCGCCACTGGTTACTAGAGCCACAAATAGTTGTGAATGGTCATGAAATTAGAAGAGCTGTTATTGTGTTAGCAGTGGTGGTGATTGGTTGTAGTTGTGTTGTCTTTGTGGTACAGTAGAGATACTTTTATTGTTATAGCAAATGAAGACTTCTAAGTCCTATGTTGTTGATGGAACAAGAGTGTTCTGAAATTGATTAACCCTTTTATTGTTTTCATAACCTCTCAACCTTTTTTCCCCTTCCTATTATCTACGAGTTCCTCTTCTTCAATGTACTTGTCTCTCCCCAGTTTCCCTGAAAAGTCTGTRTCTGTTCTGTTGGCTCTCCTGTTTCAGTTCATTACCCAACCTCCTCTCACAATGATCCACGCGTCCTGCCAGAGCCTGTGGCCAGTCTGAGAGCCAGCCACTGCAGTCCAGTATTTTACTTGCTGGACAATGGTAAGATGAGGGTTAACTTAAAGATCTAAGCCTTTTTGCTTGTGGTCTTTCTTTTATGATGAGAGGGAGACGTAGGATGATTAGTTTTAGGATTTCTTTTGTCAATGTTGCACATTGCATGCTTGCTGTGCTTCCACACTGTTAGCAACATGATCAGCAAGATACTGTACGTCTACGTTTTCCAGACATTTCTACATAATTTAACAAGGTTAGTTTGAAAAAGCATCGTTCTGAGCGATTTTGTAAACTGCAGTATTGCAGTTTTGGTAGTAAAAGTGACAAATAGGCTGTGGGAGTAACTGAAAAACAAATTCAACAAAATGTAAACTGTATTTTTTTCAACTACAGATGCGGAAAGACAAATCAAACCTTTTCAAACCAGCACTGGTCACAATGGAAAGACCTGTGAACCAGCTTGCTTTCAGTGTAAACAAGCACCGTGTTGCTAGGAGGAGAGCGTGTGTGGCTGCCCTTTTTTTTCAGTGTGCTAAATGCTTTGTGCAGGTGACTGCTGGGTGGTGCATTGTGTCACTGCTCCAGGTGCAGAGATGTTTGTTGTGTGTGCCCGAGCTGGGCTTTGACCTTGGGTTCCCTCATTTTCCTCTCGCGCCCTGACGCAGGTGGGCTTAGTAAGAGGAAGGAGTTGTATTCCAGTCGGATACTTCTCCTCACTCATCAGTGCCTCGAGTGCTTCATTCTGTGTGACATTAATCATTGTGCCTCCTCTGGAATCACTCATCTCTGCCACTAAAAGGCAACATGCTCCTCTCCTAGAGCTGCAGCACTCGGGGTCTTTTTTTTCTGTGTCAATAAGCCCGCATACTTATCTTGTTGTCCCCTTGGCTAACATCCATCATGGCCTTGTCTTGTCTCTAACTAACTGCATGGAGCCCACTATGTGGTCAATTGTAGTGCTGACTATAAATAGAGCTTGCTTTGTGTGGTCACAGTGCTTCAGTGTTTATCTGTGTTTTAGTCCTTTATTAGGCCTATGTGTGAAAGTCGACACTTTAATATCTTGCCACAAAATTTGTTGAAAATATGTTTCCTAATGAAGCTCCACAAGCAATCAACAACTGTTGATTAAATCTTTTATTTTTCACTCTCTCTTTGATAATGTTTCATAAGATGGAATGCTATGTAAAAGCCAGGAAAGATGGATACAATATAAAAAATGCTGCAGTTATGTAGAAAACAGATTTTTCATTAAGCAACCAGGATAAGTGTCTTTTCAAAGCTTCATCGTTGTCAGACCGTCTGAAAAGATAAACTATCTGTCTCCTATGGACCAGTGTTAAAAAAAATGAAAGAGAGAGAGAGCTTTGTAGAGATGCACATCTCGAAGCACATTTAAATATTTGTTTTCGCCTCAGGCAAATATTTTATCTTTGCAGAAAGCAGGCACCAGCGGGGTCATAAAAATAAGTTAAAAGAAGCCATCCACTGCTGAGCAACAAGTAGAAAATACTGCTTCCTGCATGACGAACACTTCAGAGCAAACTGTTGTGTGATAAACTGCTGAAATCACAGGAGGCTAATTTATTTAGCATGGTATTACCGGTACCACTTTACAATAAGGCTCCACTTATAGATAGCTTTTAAAGAGTTTATAGATAGGTTATTAATTCATCTGTAAACACTTTATAAATTATTAATAAGTGTTTATATACATTGAGACTAAACTGTCCGGTTTCTTTCTAAATACTGAGCCAAATTTGTTTGGGTATTAAACATTTCAGACTAGTTTATACCCTTGTAAGTAAAATAATGATTAGGAAACGCATATTTTAACATATTGTACTGTATTACTGCATTATAAATATCTGCAAATATTAAAGGGACCCTTATTGTAAAGTGTAAAACTGTACACTATTTTGGATGGGGTGGGATTATTTGGTGTGTTAACATAATGTTTTTTTTCTTTTTTTTGATACATCAACATTGTTGACAGTAGTTACATGTTTGAACAATAATTTCAAATATTGATAATCAACACAAAGTTTTAAAAATGGTGATTTTTCAGATTAAATACTAACTTTTTGCATTTATAAATGTTTATTTGTCATTAATAAATAGTGTATTGTATTACACGGTAGGTCTCCCTTTGACAGTTGTGAATATTTATAATGCAGTAATACAGTACAATAGTGATATATTAAAATGTGTTTCTTATTGTTATTGTGCATACAGTGTACTAACTTAGCCTGAAATGTTTAATAAGCACCTTTAGATGTAATATGTACATGAACAAATTTGTCTCATTATTTGGTAAGAAACTGGACCGTTTTGTCTCTTTCTCGTCCTTAATTATTGCATTATAAACATTTAATAATGATTTATAAAATGTTTACAGATGAATTAATAACCTATTTAYAAACTCTTTATAAGCCATCTATAAGGGGAGCCTTATTGTAAAGTGGTACCATGTTATCTATATAACAATTTAATGTTGTCCAGTAGTTTAATTCAGATTGGCAATTTACAACTCTTTTTTTATTTACGTCTAAATAAAACCAGCATATGCATTTTCTTGGAAAATATTTATTCAGTCCACTTGCTATTTGTCAAATTTGCACAAAATAGGCCAAGCTGATTGGGTGAAATATTATAAAATAAAGCCTTTGACCGCTATTCCATTAAGCAGGGGGCCGCAGTAGCTCGGTGGTCAACGGTGCAGTCTCATAATCCTGAAAATCAGTCTCAACTGTTTATTCTGATTAAAACTCATTTATGAAATGTTTGTTCACCTAAGGAGTTATTACACAGAGGAACCATCTGTGTGCTGCAGGTTTATTATGAGAGCATTTTTTCCCCGTCATTGTTTCACTAACAGAACATGTATTATATGGTTGCAGCAGCATCTGGTCACCGAGGTTTATTATGAGAAACACACAGAGCTTATCTGTTATCTTGTTAGCAAAGCCTTCCCAAAGCCCAGTAATTGCTCCAAGAAAAAAAAAGATGGCCGGAAATAAATTGATTTAAATTACTTTAGCCAATCATAACATCAGACCACCCCACTTCCACTTTTGTGATTTTTCCATGTGCTTAAAATGACCTAAGAGCTGCCAACATCATCTGTTGTAGCCAAGCTTGCTTTTCCTGTTTGGGGTCTCATGGGGGCTTGGGATAATCCCAGCTGACACTGGTTGAGAAGTTACACCTTCAAGGCTAGGTTAGTCTAAGAGCCAAAATTGATGCATTTTTACCGTATTTATTCAAGTATAATAATGTAACATTTAATCCATAAAATCATCCATAAAGTTGGGGGGTAGTACTATACTCGGATAAATATTTTTACTTATGTATTTTAACTGAAATATCGGCTTCATTCACAAAATGACTGAGTCCGAAAATGAGACTGCGTCGTAAAAAGCAGTTGAAGCGAACATACTTCCGTTCTTCAGAGCGAGATAATAACAGATCCAGGCAGGCGACATGATGTGGAAAAAAGGGGGGGCAGTCCTGCATAACGAACAAATAACATTAACATGTGACCGAGCAGCTACTGGAACAACAACAAACACATGTTCGTCTGTAATGGCTGCCGTCTACTGGTGTTCTGAAAAAGTTTGTAGACCTGAAAAAAGTTTCCCCACACCACCAGAGGGGGYGCTCGCGCATAGGAAGTAATCTGCTTTTCCCCCACAAGAWGGTCCAAATCTCATGTGAAGTCTCTGACWTTTGTGTTGGTGCCTCCTGGTGGACTATGTGTAAAATGCCAGAATTCATATGATGCTGCTACAGCCGATATATATTTGTTGTCAAAATACCTTTTAGTACATATGTTGTTAAAATAAAATGAACAGTCCAATGATCATTTTACTGATATGTATRAAGACTGCAAAGGCTGAAAAATCTTGAAGTCTGTATGAAATTGGAGGTAGATTGAGGATTAAATTTTTTATGCTTTTTAAGCTCAAAAAAGTGAGGGTCGTATTATACATGATCGTATTATACACAAATAAATACGGTATGTTTTCATTCAATTCAGAACCAATATTATTACACTATGCATTTGTGGACTGTGAAAGGAAACCAAAATCATCAAACCTTCACACATAATGGTCTCAAACGACCAGCAGGACCATGACCCTTCTTGCTGAGTGCCAACCATATTAAGGCATTATTGCARTGTGTTTTGCCAAAATAAAAGCGGGTAAGTAAGTTCAGAATATTTTTATAATTCCCACTAACAAACCTCCCCTGATTTATTCTTTTCTTTACTGGTGCTTGACAGCAGAAGGATCGAAACCTGAGTCTTGAATCRTTGTTGATTCAGTTGTTGACCTGTTTTTTTTTCTTCCAAGTTCGAAATGGTCTTTAAAAGAATAAAATTTTAAAGAACGCTATATCATAGTCATGTCATTTTTGTTGTGGTCATGAAATTTATTAGGCGTCATTTAAATACCATCTTGTCTCCTCCACATGTCAAGTTTAATCATTCAGATCAAAAGAAAAAAATATATATTATAACTTTTTTTTAGAAGGAAGATATAATCGTAGTACMTCAAGTTCATCACTTGCAGTTCTCCACTTACTGAAAAAAAATGCTTGCAAAATGTTTTATTGAGCTATTTTGGTTGTCTCAGTGTCTGACTGTGATTGTTGTATTGGCACCTTGTGGTGTCACCCCGTTTATTTGTGCCTCCATGTCAGACATCCCAGGCCTCTGAAAACAGATTTTCAATAGACATTAGAGCAGARCAAGGATCCACTCAGCAAATTCCTCAGCATTTTACACCTTTTGGTAAGGCAAAATGTTAGAAACGCCCTCACACTTAAGACTTCCATCCATGACAGATAATTTTGTTTTTTTTATTAGGAAAATCTGTAAAATTCATTAAATAACAGTTATAGCTGCTCTAAGTGACTGTCTTATCTTAGTACTGGCTTTTAGAGGAAGGAATAGCTGAAAACACTGGCCTGGGACAGCAACGGAGCATGCATTTTGAAATGAAATGTGCCTGCTTTGTGCAAATGCACCAATCTGCATGCTCTGGTTTGATGTTCATTTATGTGATTTATTTTTTTTAAGTGATTTTAACTATGATTTTCATTTTTATTTTTCATTATTTCATATAAGTTTTAACAAGTTTAAATTCCTTTATTTTCTTTATTTTATTTTATTTGCTTTATTTAAGGGGAATAACTGGTTCTTTGTTTCCTATTCTTTTGTTTCAGTAAAGGGACCCGGCAGAAAGTTAAGTCTGCCCACAGATCTTAAGACTGATCTTGGTACGGTAGGCGAAAGCCAGCAGTTTTTATTAGATTTTCTTTTAAGTAATTTATTTTCTGCTTTTGTCACAGTTTCTGAGCATTTATGTTCTTTTTTTTTTCAATTTCTATCACTCTCTTTCCTGTTCAACCAGCCCATAATGGCACGGAGTGTCCGYCTGTTTTCCTCTTTAATATATTTTAGTTTGATTTGAACCTACTGTGTTTGTTTTCTTCTTCTACATTTTGCAAGTGTTTTAAAAGGTGATTTGTAATTCATGTYCATATTTAAATTTAAAGCTTTCTATTGCTTTATCATGGTCAGACCATCTTCTGATTTTGCGTAATCTTTCTTCCATTGACAGYCTTGCTCCACAGCAAAGGATCACTCACTGCCTCGCTCATTGTAACTGGACCATTTCTATCTCAAACAGTCCTTCCATTTTGACTGGACCATCTGCATTATAGATACTAAAGCGCCCATCCTGCATGTATATCTCTAACTGCTGCACATCGTGTTCTCAGGTTTCCCTTTGCTATCCTTCTGCAGTGTCACATGTGCTGCCCGCTCTGAAAACGTCTACTTATATTAACAAAAAAATGTGCCTGTGCTGACTTATTTCTGTAACCATGCTGATGTATGAAGTTTTTATTTTTTTATAGCAGGTACGAAAACACTCATTTTCAGCAGTGGTAAGAGGGATAACTTCATATGGAGTTAAATCAGTGACAGCTTGCATTGCTATTGAAAAAAGAGATTTGGCATTGAAAAAAGAAACACTGAAAAATAAAACATTGTCATTGAAAAACAACATTGAAAAAAGAAACACTGAAAAATAAAACATTGAAAAATAAAACATTGAAAAATAAAACATTGTCATTGAAAAACAACATTGAAAAATGAAACACTGAAAAAAAAACATTGAAAAGATTTTGGCATTTTAAAATTAAATCTTTTCAATGTTTCTTTTTTTCAATGTTTCATTTTTCAATGTCAAATCTCTATTTCAATATCAATGTAAGCTGTCACTGATTTAACTCCATAACTTTAGCCCTAACTGGAACATAGATGTACATATTTGTGGTAGTGTCTTTAATAAGGACGCATTAAATGCTAGTCCATAAATACTTTTTTGGACTTGTGTAGGTGTGTTTATTTCTATTGATATATAAATTCTTATAGAATTAGTGGTGTGTTCATCTGTGTGAACTGGGTTTGAGTGAGCTAGGTGGTGGGTTTATGTCTGTTTACACTGCTTCCCCTTTTGATAAATACCAGACCCTTCAGAACAAGGGGCAAATAAGTAATAAAGGCATAAAATAAGACAATATAAAATGTGATATATAGCATGTGGCTCTACATAAGCCTGGTGTTACATGTAGGGAAAAAAACTAATAAAAAATAAATAAATAAAAACAAACAAAACATGGACTTCCATGATCTGTCCTGTCATGCTTGGGTGAGTGTTGCATGCAGACTGGTTGGTATGCCAGAGGTTTTCATCTTCACTTTGAATCTGATTTTTATTTATTATTTTTGTTTTTTTGTGAACCAGCTGAATAGGAAATTAGTTTTAAAGAAAAGGACACAAAAGAACAGAACAGGACAGGGGACACTGTGTTATTATTTTACCAATTAGCCTAATGTTGTCTGTCCTCATCTTTCATAAATGTCTAGTTTCAAAGACATCAGAGAGGAAAAGGAAAAAAATAAAATAAAGCAATTCCATTAAACCTTAGTATCAACCACAAATCATTTTAACCTTGATTTTTCCTTCCACAAAGATGTCATTTTAAAAAGGACGTTTTTTATTTACTCATCTCTGAAGACCTGAGAAAACCAAAAGTACYAAACTGTGGGTATCATGAGGCTGTTAATTGTAGTCGTCTTGGCAGCTCATAGGCAGCCAAAAAAAAAAAAAAAAAAGGCAGAATCCACACAGTCCTGCGTTTTTGTTGTTGTTAATAAGGTTTGGTTCTAAACAAATTATACTACTTTCACACATTCAGTCCCAAAGCACTCCACATTAACTGAGGACAAAGCCTCCAACAAATGCAGTCCCTCCGGGAAGCTGAGCAAAGCCACTATTCCAGAGGGTAACAAGTGTTTTCATGTCAGCCCCATCTGCGACTCAGTAGCCCAAACAACTTAAGGAATTTGCATTAGAATATAAAGCAGATTTTGTAGTTTTTTTTTCTATTTGTTTATATTGTTTTGATCTTCAGTCTAAGCTTTATCAGTGGTCATGTAGCTTGTGGCTAAAAGAGAGAAAGAATTAAATAKCTTCTGCTAGAGATAGTTTTCCAGCAAGGATAAAAAAAAAAAAAGGCACAATGATGAAACAAGATTGCTTTGTTCATATCTCTTTCCTGGAACAGACTGGATGAAGCTGCACTCACGTTTTCACTCTGCATTTTCTTTTTTCCTTTCTTTGGCCACAGCATCTCTTCCTCCATGCACATACGTACTTCGAACCACTCTTCAGCCCTTTTGTCACGCACTCTCCCCCTGTCCCTCACACATCATTTTCCAACTTAACAATCCGACTTTTTGCAGTTCTAACGCTGCAACAATCTCCATCTTCATTGGTCATATAATGCAATTACCAAAGTTTACATGTCGTAAACAGTTGCATGGCCTCCCAACACACAGACGAATGTGTTTCAGTTATTGCATTAAAATGTATGATAAAATGATAAACCAAATTTTAAACTCCTTGTTTTGYTTTGGACTCGTGAAGATGGATGTTTCAGCTGTGGATAACAATATGGTTAAGAATTTAATCATTTCCCTCCTTCCTTTGTTTGCTAATGCTTTGCCGTTGTTACAGATCATGTCAATGGACATTGCACTAGCCCCACCTCCCAGCCCTGCTCGGCGGGGAAGCCTCGTGTTCCGATGGGTCCTGAGGGGCCACGGCTTACTCGCAGAGGCCCTGGCCGACCACCCTTCCGCAAGGCCCAGTCTGCTGCTTGCATGGAGATCTCTTTGCCTGTGTCCCACACTGAAGGTGTGTGCTTGTTTTCCCAACTCCCATCCCTAAACCCTTCATCCCATGTTCCTCCCTCCCAAAGAGTGCATGACACCCTCTCTCCCTGGGGTAAGTGGACTGAGGACTGATACATGGTTAACACAAGGCAAGCATGTGCTAATGCAAGTTAGCAACATTAATCCGCAATCACACTCTAGATCTCAGGAGTAGATCCTGTGCAGTAACAGAGTAATAGACAGAGAAATTTATGCATTTGTTATCAACATTTGTGAGGAGGTTCTTGTTGCAGCTCTTACCCCCAATTTACACTACATGTGGTTGTGCTCCGCTGCCCTGTGCAGTTCGCTGCCATTCGTTTCMACCCCAATTTACACAGCGTCCGCTCCACTCTGGTTTACTCCGGTGTGAAGCACAGTGGAGGCCCAAGAAGCGTGTGCAGAAAATGCGAGATCGTGCAATGTTCCTAAATAAGAACATTTGTTCTTAYGTTTCATTCTGTGGAAGATGGACTCCAACTTCTGATTTCAGAATAAAATTCATGTGTATTACTTGTGTATGCACATGTTGCAYGTTACATGTTGCCATCAAAAAGAAAAAAAATAATTAGGTCCTCTGGATGGGTTCTTCTTTAGTGAAACGTTTCATCTCTCGTCCAAGAAACATCTTCAGTCTGATGAGTTTCAGGTGAACTCAGCCTTCGGCCAGTCTCTTGGACGAGAGACGAAACGTTTCACTAAAGAAGAACCCGTYCAGAGGACCTACTTATTTTTTCTTTTTGATTTTTTTCTACCTGGTTYACTGAGATGCATCAGGACATGTTGCCATCTGTTTCCCAAACAGAATGATACATTTTGACWGCATTTGKGTATAAATATACCCACATATTTATTATTAWAGCTAGGATTTCGACTAAATTTGCCTGSCTTTGATGACWTATTTTGAAAAYAYGGAAGTTGTGCTCGTTCCTTTTCCTTTTCCTGTTGGTGCGGTGTGACCTTTGTAGAKTGACWCTGGAGCAGCTCGTTCGACAAAAATAGGACTGAATTTAAATTTGGCCAATCAGTGTCCCCTTGCCGCCACCATGCACCACCGTGCAGAGCCAGTGTAAATGTTCTCATAGATTACAATGGTTGCATATTTACTGTGAAGGTTGGACCAGAGCAAAGCAGAGTTGAGCGAAGCGGAACAGAACCGCATCCAGTTCATCCAGTTGGGGGTCATGGAGCAGTTTATTTAGCAGTGTTACTTTGGTGTGACCTCTGCAGCTTGCATTAGCATCATCTTCCAACAAACTCTCTGCTACTTTCAGATGCAAGAAACAGTTCTTGCATTGTGTGTCTTTAAACTTGTGTCAACCATGTCCCAGGTCCGAAGGTTGGTGCAATGTGAAGTTGTTTAAACATTTTATTTTTGTTCCTTTTTACCATGATATTATTCTTTTATCTTTTCTTTTTTTCAACATTAAATTAATCATTTTGTTCTCACATTTATTAACATTTCTAACATCACTGATGTGTTTGCAATGAACCTGTTTATGCTTTTTTTCTCATGAAATTATAGGTTGGACATATTCCATTCTGAAACATTTTTTCCCCTTGAGCATTTTGTTTTTTTTTATTAACATCTGAGTGAGTTTGTCATTTTTTTCTTTGAAAGTTAGAAACAGCAAGCTAGAGTTGATTTAGTGTGGCCACGCCCTCCCCTATTCTCCTAATCCACAAAACATAACACTTCTAGAAGCCATTCTTTATTGAATTTATGGCTCTTRATATTTTGTTTTTAGCATTTTTCATGCACAGTTTAATTTTTTTCCTCCATTGCAATGACCCTTGATCACGCCCTGGCCTTGACTTGTAAAACTAGTCCTGACAGAGGCTTTACATCTCCATGTTCAGTTTGGAAATGTGTGTTTGTGTACTTGTGCTTTCGTGTGGTCTAGAAAAGGAACATGTCTGTGTGTAAACATGTATTAATCAATAAGAAAAACTAAAAATTAGCTTGAGATTTTCTAGCTTTTTGTAAAAAAATTTGGTAAATGCCTCGTGTCCGATGCCATACTTTTCTTTCCATGCAAACTGAGACTTGCTTCTTGCATTTAGATATACAGTCTTTACATTTACTCGTACAACGCTGATGACAGCTAACATAAGTGCAAATAGCAGATAAAAGAATGTGCTGTCAAGGGAAGAATTAAATGACCCTCTGTGCTGTGCAATTTCAAGATATTGACATCAGAAATGACACAGAAAAATGGCCTCTGCTGTGATTGTACAACCTATTTAAATACAGAGGGTGTAGGAACTTTTCCACTTAGTCTGTCACTTCCAGGCAACAAGACGTGATGTAGGATTTCAATTTACTTTGAGAAAACAGCATTTTTAACTCAAACAAAACATGGGTTTTCCTGTTACCTGGACTTCTGACTTTCAAATTAAGCATTTTATGTTGTTTCTGACACATGGCTGATGTTCTGAAGGTGTGTTTGACAGATTGGTTATACATAAAACTGACTGAAGGCTGATTGACCCTGGAGGCAGAGAAGTGTGCCGCAGTGCTCTAATTTAAAGTGTAAATACAATTTGTTGCATAACTGTACACCAGCCAAGAAAAGGCTTTCAGGTGCATCAATAAAATTAGAATCATACAAAACTGGTTTACCAGAAACAATACTTTCACAGAGTATAGATACTTTGTATAATCTCTCTACTGAGACTTAATGTTGGAAGGTCCTGGCGTGGTAGGTCGCTCAGTCACGGTCCACTTAGGAACCTTTATTTGCGTTTATCTTGAGCTCTCTCAGATCCACAAAAACTCCCAGTCAAGTCACGGAAGGCAAATCTCTCYGCAGGAGACTCAGTATTGTGACAGTCCCTGAAATGTCACAGCGACTGTAGTCCTCCTGCACGAACATCAAACATAAAGTGACGGCAAATGTTGCCAATTGGGGGTAAAATCACATTCTTAAAGCCCCTGCTTTTAAAATCAGTGCTGTGCTTGTAGCTATATTTATAAAAAAAAATATTGTTTGGGCCTCCATTTGTTCTTACTTTTCGAAGATTTCAGGAGTTTTCACAGCCACGCTTGGTCAAAATAATAAACCTAAATAAAAGTCTAGTCTGCTTAGTGGAGTGAAGTGCTGTTTGTTAAGTCARAGCTGAGCCTTTTGCATCAATTCAGCAATTAAAGTCACGCTGCTTTCTTCATCAACCTCATTATACAACAGTGACCTGGAACCAAGAGGGAAGCACTTCTTCATTAGCAGGGGCTGAATGTTTTATTAAAGTCACTGCCTGGACTACTAGTGYACTATCAGCCAGAAACGATGCAGGCTGCAATTGAAAACATGTTTTCTTCACTGTTTATTTTAGGCTTTTACAGCTTATGAAATATTCATTACATGGTTGACAGACTTCCTGAAGATTTTAAGTTAAAGCATTGGAGCTATGTAGAAAAATGGCCATGTCACCTCGCTTTGCCTGACAAAATGGAAATGGCAATTACTACTGCACTCACAATACAAACAATATGCACAAATGTAAGCTCAAAAACCTGACAGTTACATCATATTACATGCACAATTCACCAGGTGGATAAGCTGCACCAGTCTCTTTATATATATA